ATTTTATTTAATATAATTGTGGTTTTTAATTTTTAGGTTTGGTTTTATAAATTTTTTAACTATTAAAAATCCAAACTAAAATTTTGTTTAAAATTACTTTTAACACTAATAACAAAACATATAAACTTGTTTCTTTCTGTGTGTTGAAGGGTTAATTATTTTGCTTGACATCACATGGATATGAGTCCTTGAACTTGACTCGAAATCATGATTTTTAAGTTAATGGATAATAATTTAGTTAAATTCTTATTGATAAAAATATAAACTTGTTAAATAATATTAAAATTATTTTTTATCTTATTTTTCTAGTAATCGTAATAATATATGGTAAAAACACATAAAAGTAAACTAATTTTTTTGTTTAAAGTTATACAATTTTTAAAAGAATAATAATAAATAAAACAAAAATTTAGAATCAATAATATATCATTTAAAATATTAAAAGAGGGACCTTAATGATGGATTCTTTTTGTTTTTTAAAATTTAAAATATTATATGTATCAATTAATTTAATAATATGACATATATCAAATCATTAATCTTAAATTTTCATCCTAAATTTTTATCTTTCCTATCATTATTCCTTTTGAAAACCAAAACTAAAAGCCGCAATAATACAAAACGGGAAATATTTTCAAATTCTTAGTGTGTGCGTGGAATGAAGCAATAAAATAGAATCATGGAAACCAGACTTGGACTGCTACAGTGCATCCTATTTGGTGAGAGAGAAAAAGAGTATTCATCAGTAAAAATTCCAGTATGTGTTGCTAATCATCAGAGATACTCAATTAGATGTTCAAAAATAAAATTTTAGGTTTTGCTCACACTAAATCTTCTTCATTGTCTAGATATTCAATTTGATGTTCAACAAAATAAAAATGATCTTAGTTTCTGTTAATTTGTTCCATATATTTCCTTTAATTATTACATAGCTGGAAAATCATAACTCATTTCATTCCCAATTTCCAATTATACTTATCTTTATTTTATATAACTGTCAAGCTAAATGCACATTAGTTTGTTGATGAGCATATAGATATACACATACTAAATTACTATAAGTGATTAATATTGGACGTACTCCTACTCCAATTAATGTCAGATTTTGGTATGAGCTGATCATACCTAATAATGTAAAATTTTGATTTAGGGGTTAAGCTTAGAAATTCAAATCTTCATGTTGTTAAACTACTAATTCTCTAATATACAAAAAAAAAAAAAAACACTAAGAAAATATCATAATTAATTCATTTAAAGCATAATAAATTTTATTGGATTGTAAACTGGTATAAATAAAGGAGACAAAATATATATACCAATTCATTTCCAAAACAAATTAAACTCCCCCTTTATTAAAGTTCAAAAACATAACACTACAATTGGTGCAGAAATTAAATAATACTGGCTAGCTAGAAATTTTAGCACCAGATTGGTGACATGTGTTGGTCATGTATCTTGGACGTACCAAATTACTAAACAGGTGCATGAAAGATAAGCAATTCACATGGACATTATACAGGGGATTCATATCAAATTGGATTATTATGAGATGAAAAAAGGGCTTAAATTATATGTCCGAAGTACTTTCCTTTTCATCAACAATGGTGGAACAATTTGGACTCGGGGTCGTTGGAGATTCTGTATAAGTACTCTTGAATCCGGTTGGATGGCTCGGTTGAACATCAATATTCAGTGGCAGCAGCCGGTATCCAGGATTTGTTGTAAGATTAATCTCTTCATATTGTAGTTGTTGCACAGCGAAAAACTGCTTCCAGAAGTCCCTCTCCTTCTTCAGTCCCTCATATTGAGCTGCGGAAACCATCTTACTGGTATCAGTTATGCATTATATTAATTATCAGCAATCTCATTATCAATATTATTTTCCCCTGACATATATTGTTCTTTTTCATATATAAGTACTGTACCTAGAGTTATTTCTCTACAAATACAATATGCAAGAAAAAATCTGATGGTATGTCCCAACCAAGAGAATTTGTTTGAGACTTCGAAATTAAAAATCTTATGTATAGACTCAAATTTAAGAAACACCAAAAAAAAAAGAAGAAAAAAACAACACCCTCAATTAATTTTGGTGAAAGTGAGGATTAATTACTACTGGTTGTATATATATCTCATATATATGATCTGATGTTAAAATGGAAAAATGACAGAGAACAATAAAGAACCTTCTTTGAACAAGAGTTCGCCTGTATAAGCAGACAGCTTCTGCCTCATCACACCGTTCTCAGTCCGGAGCAACGAGTTCTGACGATCAACATAGTTGATCCTAGGAAAGCAAATCATCACTTCAGCCTACGCATCATGATATATATAACAAATTAAAATCCGTAAGTTAATTAAAAAAAAACCCAAATTAATTAATAGTTAAGCTAGCTAGCTAGCTAGAAATAATTACCTGAAGAGCTTTTACTTCAGTTTCAAGCTGTATGATATAGTGCAGTTGTTTCAGCCGATATCTCTGTGAATATTGGCGGCTTGCCATCACTCTGCACATTTGCAAAACCAACACCCAAAAAAAAAAAAATATTGATTGGAATTATAATTAATATTCTTAATAATCTTAAAATTTCGGAGAAATTAACTAACTAATCAATCTAGAATTTTCACACACACATGGAAAAAAAAAAAGGGTTACATATTCATCACCTCTTGAGCTTCTTGGCTTCCATGTCCTCGGTGTTGGCTAATGCGGATGCATTGTTAGAGTTGCTGCCGCCATTTCTGCCGGATGGTGGAGCAACTTCTTGTTCGTTGATGGTCTCCATTGGCATTCTCAGGCAAATTTAACACCTTTAATTAAGACCAATTAGAAAAATGAAAATAAGAAAAAAATATAAAAATCAATCCAAAAGAGAGGGGGGAAAAAAAGATAAAAATGAACTATCTTAAAATTACCCCAAAGAAATGAAGACAAAGAGAGTGAATGATGGTCAGGCCCTCCAGGTCTTATAGGGGAGTTTGTTTCTGTGAGTCGGGGCCACCAAACCAACTGGCTGCCGCCGGTTTCCAGGCGTCGCTCTCACTCGGACAGCACACCTATGAACATTTCCATTTATGGGTGGTGAGCGAATTACTTAAAATGCCCATCATTTTCTTGATGGTAAAATCCTATTTTTGTCATCCAACTATTACAAATTCTCAACTTAATCCTCCAACCGTTTTGAGGGACAATAAGCTTGTCAACTATTCACAACACTCAAATAACTCAAATTTCAAATTTCTAGATATTTGGATTCA